TCAAGGACGGTCAGGCCTCTGCTATATCATATTCTTTTTGGTGGGAGTGCCGATGAAGCAAACGTATGTTCGTTATAGCAATCGAAAACGTTACTTATATTCGTAAGTGAGTAGGGTAGTCTCGAAACCCTACTCACTTACGAATATATGTGAAAGAAGTTATCTTATGATGGGCAAATTTCCATTCTATATACCAAATGTAGCTTTCTTGTTCATTTCATTTGAGACCATAACGTAGTTGCTTTATTCCAACTTCTTGATGATCTTTCTCCTCGATTATCATCAAAATTAGCATCTTTTTTATTAGGACGGACGAAGCAGAGGAATGTATTATTAATTGTGTTGTTTCTTCATGTATCACTCGTTTTTCATACTCCCCTCTCTTTGTTTAGATGGCCATCTCGAATATGGCCGAAATGGAAGAGCTGTTTGGTCAGCTGAAGGGAGTCGAGCTAGACCGGGCTGCTCAGGCCGAGGCATTGTCTGAGGCCGGCGACGAAGATGGTCTGGCCCAAATGCCAGTTCGGCTGCCACAGGGCGTCATCAGCAGCATCGAGAAGCGTTTGACACATCTTCGACTCCACGTACCATTCACTAAGCGTCGGATCAAGCGACTCACACTGCGCTGGGGCCTCACTTCTCGGGTGAGTCGAAGTGACGAGATCTGCGTCAACACTGGCTATACAGTTCTGGACTGAAATACACTAACTGATTTCTTCTTTTATGAATAAATGAAGAAAAGTTGGCTGATATTTATATCAATGGGAGTATGTTTTCTTAGCCATCATTAATTTTCCCATAAGAACCTACTCACCCTAGGTTGCACAAAGTGATTTAAGGAGTGAGAGTGGAGCATTTCCTACAACGAAATGAGTTGACCTAATGATGCTATACCTTTTAAAATGTTTTCTTCTCCAAGATTGACAGAGGTTACGACCTCTCCTCGGCCTCTTTGACACTCTAAAGGGATTTTTCGAATTAAGTATTGTTTTTCGTGACTACCAGTAAATCAGTTATAAGATGTATTCACCCAATTT